CACCTTGAGCCCGGGGGAATGGGACTTCGAGGGCTGAGTCTCCCAGCCGCTCAGGCTTCCGATGTCCCAAAGTCCCCGTTGTGGGCAGGAATGGGGAGGTGCCAATCTGGAGTTTGTCAGCGACCCATCCTCTGACTTCTCTGAGCAAGAACTGGCCGGGGGTGGGGAAATTACACAGCCCCCTCCCCACCCCCACCCCGCTTCACTCCTTCAGCGAACATTTCCTGAGCGCCACCCTAGGCCAGGCCTTGCTCTGGGCGTGCCGGAGGGAGTTGGGGTAAGGAGTAAGGGGGCCTTCCCCAGCACTTCCTCCTCCTTTTACACCCTTTTCAGTTGTCTCCAAACAGATCCGTCTCTCTCCTTTCCTGCCTTCCTCTCAGGACCCTCTCTGAACTGTTTCCTCCCCACCACCTTTTTCCTACAGGTCTTTCCTGGTTCCTCCACTGACCCCACTAACCCGAGGACTGAATGCTGTCAGACCTGGAGGCCTATGGCCCAGTTATGCTTCTCATGGGCACCCAGTAAGCCCTTCTTTTTATCCAGATGAGATCTTAAAGCTCAGCTCTTTCCAGCCCAACCAGCCTGCACCAAGTCTTTCCTCACCTCTCCCCAGGGCTCCTGAGTATGAAGCCTTCTCTACAGTGAGGCAGAGGAGCAGAAGCAGGCAGGAAGAGGGGGAAACACAGACTTTATTGAAATGAGGTAGTTGGAGGTACAGAGAGAGCCCGGCTTGCTTGGGGCTCAGGTTTCCAGAAACTCAGGAGGTGCCTCCACTGTCTCCAAGGTTCAGAGAAATGCTTGTTGCTGCTAGGAGCCCTCTCTGCACCAGGGCCTCCCTGAGCTGCCCCAGGGGTAGGGCTAGGGATGGGGAGGAGGGTCCTGGGTTCTCCAGGAGGCAATAAATAGGGGAGGAACTAGTGGGGGCATGCCTGCGCCTTCCTGGTAGAGGTGTGCTAGGGGCAGGCCCCACACAACGTTCCACAAGTCTCTGGAGTACCAAGTTCCAAAACGCTTTGGTGGCTTGGAGATGAGGTCGCTGGTGGGAGGAGGCAGGTCTCAGAAAACAACCTCTGGAGGCTGCCTTAGTGCAATACAAATGTGCAGGGAGGGGTTTCATAGGGTTAGACTGGGGAGAGTTTTGGTCAGTCACAAGGCAGCTGGTGCTATTGTAAGGTCTGTGGTGACTGGAAGAGATTAAGCATTAGTAATATGCCGGCCCCCAAACACTTCCCACACAGGAAACTTCAAGGCCTTCTCTCTGTTCCAAGCCTAGAAGGGGGAGTTAGGATAGGAGTGCATGGGGAGAGTCCTCACAGCTCAAAGGCACTGAACTGAATAAACTGGTGTTGGAAGGGAAAGGAGAATCCTGGAGGATGTTGCTTGCTCTCACCCCACCCACGTGCTGATGCCCAGATCAAAGGTGGAAGGAAGCCCTTCTCTCCACATTTGACAGTTTCAGTGTCTCCCATGCCTCTGGTCCTGTAGGATCCGCAGCCATCAGCACCCCGCCTAGACCGGAGAAAAGTGTTTCCCTATTCACCCCAAAGGCAGCCCTAAACTGGCGCCCCCTGCGTTGGTGAGGATCGCCCTAAAGCCGAGGCCTGGGTTAGGGAGAGCGGAGGAGAGGGCAGGACCGGGGCGCTCCGGTGCGGGGGAGCCTCGTGGGTTGGGAGGTTTAGTTCAGGAGGTGACGGAGCTGGGCGAGGCTTCTGGGGAGGTGCATGCCGACTGGTCGGAGGCGTCTCCAGCCGCTTCCTTGGGACAGCCTGGAGGCGCTGCGGGCACCCGGCCTCCCTCCCGCTCGCGCTTCTTCTGCTTCATGCGCCGGTTCTGGAACCAAATCTTGACCTGCGTTTCGTTGAGCTCCAGGGTGGCGGCGATCTCCACCCTCCGGGCCCGGCTCAGGTACTTGTTGAAATGGAACTCCTTCTCCAGCTCGGTCAGCTGCCTCGTGGTGAAGTTGGTGCGGAGGCCGCCAGGCGCGCCCAGGCCCAGCTCCGACACCTTCGCTAGGGGCGGGGCAGGAGAAGGGCCACGTCAGTTGTCTCACCTCTTTCTCCTCCCTCCTCCTCCTCCCAGGCCAGCTCTGCACCCCCATTCACCATTCTGTCCAAGTTCAGCTCTCAAAGTTCCCATGGATCACCAAGCACCACCCCACAAGGTGATCTCCAAATCTAGAGCAAGCTCCACCACGCTTCCATCCCCCAGGCCCCTGACGCACATGGGTCCTGGGCCTGTGCTGGGACCACAGATCAGGAAGTTGGGGTGTGCCTGGAGACAGTCTTGAGGGTAACTGGGCACTCACTGAATGGGGAGACCCCACCTGACCTCAGACGGGCGGAGCGCTCTTACCAGACTCTTCCAGGGCAGCTCCGAGAGAACCTAGCCCAGGCCCAGAACACCTCAGTGCAGGGGCAGCAGGGCCGCTTTGGGCCCCGGAGAGAGGGTGGCCACGCCTGAGCCCTACCTGTCTTGGGAGGGTTCCTCTTAACCTTCATCCAGTCGAAGGTCCGGGCCGTGGGGGTGCTGGGTTCTGACGGGCAGGGAGATTCCTTGTCCTCGGAGAGGAGATCAGCATATGCCGGTGTAAAACTCGCCGTCTGCTCGTTCCCGTAAGGGGCCTGCGGCGGAGGGTATGGCCCTGGGCCGGCTCCGCCCGTTCCGTAGCCATCGGACAAGCCCCCTAGCTGGGCCCCATAGCTCGACGGATGAAAATAGCCTCCATCTCCTTCCGGTTGGCCCAGAGGGTAGTACTGAGAAGGCCCATAGCTGGGGCTGCAGGCGGCCGGCGCGTACCCCGAGGATGCGGAGCTAGGGAAGGGCACCCCCAGAGCCGAAGGCGGCTGCTGGGCGGGATAGCCTGAGTTCTGCTGGAGCGCGGGGCTGGGCAGCCCCCCGCCATAGCGAGTCTCGCCTGCGTAGCTGTCAACAGCCGGAGCCGAGCTGGGGGGGAAGGAGGTAGGGGCGCTGTGGGCGCTGTAGGCGCTGGGTCCCCGGTTACAGAGTGGGTACTCTAAGAAGGAGTTCATCCTATTATAGTCCATGCGTGGAGGCCTCAGGAGGGTCGGCCCTTTTTGGGGAGACACCCTCTTGCCCTACAACCTTTCCGCAGTATTTCACAGCGCTGAAGCCTGCATCCATGGCCCGGCCCAGCTCGCCTGGGCCAGGGCTCCCCAGGAAGGGGGTAGGGAGTGGGGGTGGAGGGGCGCATGTGATCTCTCCCAGGCCAATGGGCGCTGCGGGCCAGAGTTTGGCAGCCCCAGCGCCCATCCATCACCCCCCAAGCATTAGCATGACAAAGACACTTCAATCACCCGCAGCCCATCCATCTGAGAGCGACGTGGAAGCGTCAAAAACATCTTTCTTCAAAGACTTTTGGAAAGAAGGAACCAGAGGGAGAGGGGGGAAAAGTTAGAGGAATATTCAAGACTTTCCCCCCTCCCAATCTCCAAGGCCTCAACAGGCTCCTGGGTTATTAGATTTGGACAAATTCAACCCAGCTGCCCTTCATTCTCCCCCCACCTCCCCCAAGGAGCCTTTCCCTCAAGTCTGTAGACCAGGAGGTGAGGAATCCATCCTCCTTACTTTACCCAGAACTCCCACTCTGAGTTTCTTTCTCCCTATTTGTCTTAGGGTGATGGGCTAGGACAGCCGGGTGAGGTATGTTATCTTGGGCCAAACGGATGACTGGGAAGGAAGAGGGTGCAAAAGCACCTAAGGGTGTGAGGCACGGTCTAGAATCTAGAGAAAAAATTCATTAAGTGAGGAGTGGGAACCTGGCATTTCAGGGAGCAAGACAGGACAACAGAAATGTGGAGAGGAGATGAGAAACGCCCCATTTCTCTCTCGTCTCTCCGCATAAACGCTCTCTCCTCATTCACACATCCATCTCTCTCCCTCAGCCTCTCTTTATATTCTCTCTGTCTCAATCCATCTCTCCGTTCGTCCATCTCTCTCCATATTTATATTTGTTCCCTACCTATCCATCAACTCATCTCTGCAGATGTATTTATCCTCTCTCTAGCCATCCATAGCTGTAGCTGGCTCGCTCACTCAGAGTCAAATAACTCCCTGTATCTCTCCAGAGAGCCACAATGAGCACAGAGTGAGGTGATGTTTACAGGTGAAGAGGAGAGAATTTTTATTCTCTTTCTGAAGGGTTTAAAACTAGCGTAGATCCTGCATTTTCTAGTTCCCTCCTCTGCTTCCTCCTTCACCACCCTCCATTTCTTTTCTCCACGCCCCCCCCCGTAAATCCCAAGCCTCAAATTCATAAATTCAGTACCAATTACACCTTAGAGATTACTCAAATTTTTAAGGAATTTTTTGGAATAGATCAAGGGAGTTTCCTCAGAGAGTGGGAGAATCAGCATGGGGGTCCTGAGGCTCAGGAGTGGAGTCTCACCTTTTTCTGCTCTCTGTCTGTTGGGTTAGGGTTGGGGGAGGGGAGGGAACAGGAAGTGCCTCCTTTACTCTCTTCAGACAGGGATGGGACTGGAAGAGAAGCGCATAGGTAGAGCCCATTGATTCTCCTCCTCCAGACTCCCAGGACAAGGGCTGGGCGCAATCCAACACCCACGCTCATTTGTAACCTGTCAGGGTGTCTGCCTGGCCGGAGGCCTGGGGCCGGGGCTAGGGCAAGTCCAGGAGGGCAAGAGTTCAGGGAGGGATCTCTAAACAATTGAGCTCAGAAGAAGCGAAAGCAGGTGGGACAGGTCGAGAGAGAACCCTCAAAACTTTTCAGGTTTCCCCACCTCAAAAAGAACAGGGTGAGTACTCATCCCTCTGCCAGGAACCCCAAAGTTGTCTCTCTCAGTCCCCGTGTCTCTCCATCTTTCTGTTTCCCATTCCTCCTCATTTTGCCTCTCCTTCATAATCGCCTCTCCTGCTTCCTATCTTGACCACCAGAATCATACTACCTTTCTTTTTGCTTAATAACTGGGAGCCTCCATTAGCCCCCAACTATGAAAGAGCTGGAAGCATTTCACAGGATCCCTGCCCCCTTCCCTCCTCACAAGTACTCTGCTTCAGACCAGGACAAGCTGGGGGGAGGGGGACCAGCTGGTAACTTCTTTAGGAGAGATACAATGGGGGAGGGCGAGAGAATGTTCACTGCCAAAGGGATGCGGGCAGACAAAGGGAAGGAGAACTCAGATGGGGGCAGGGGTGGCCTGCAGAGGGATTGAGGAGAAAAGAAGTGTTGAGGTGAGAGCAAGCATATTTCCTTCTATTACTCCTTTTTGGGTTTGTAGGTTCTCCCAACTTTTCCCTCTCACTTTAAGATGTTCTCCACAGAGGCCTTTGGAGAGGAAGGGTGTAGGGAACTGGGGTTTCTCTTCTAGCCCCAAATCTGAGCTGGGCCTATATTTGACCTGGCTGCCCTGCTTCTGAGAGACTTGAGGCTTCTTCACTTTCCACCTTTCTCTCACCCCAGGGAGAGTCTGCTCACCTCCTCCCTTGCCTTCCTAATTAAGGAAACAATCGGAGGTCTAAAGAAGAAGTGAGTTCCAGATCAGTTTAATAAAAGTGCAGAAATCTGTCTGGGAGTTGGGGAAATGCAGTCTCCCTAGTAACAACTGAAGTCACCCATCTGTTATTAATGACAAGAAGATAAGGGGTGGGGCAAAAGGGCCTCGAGTTATACTGTCAATCTCAGTCGTTGCTGTAGACTCAGCTCTCCAAATTCTCTATGCTCTCCAACTCATCCCTGAGTCTTGCTACCTTCCCTTGTGGAGCAGAAAGATTAAAACGTTCCAAAATTCCTGCTGGCGCTCCCAGCCCCAGCAGAAAGGACTGGGAGAAAAAGAAACTCGGCCGCCTAGTTTCCCAAATCTCTTCCTCCTTAAAAGAAGCTTCACTAGCCTCTGGCCTGAGGAGAAAGTCTTTGGTGCCTGGATTCCTTGCCAAGCCCACAGCTGACTGCAGAACAAAACAAACAAACCAAGAGAAGGAATCCATATCTGGAGTAACCTGTGGGCGACAGGACCTCCTGATTGAGCAAATTAAATTCACCAGAGAGGGTCTGGGTGGACCAACACCAAAGTGAAATAAAGTTGATTCCCCCGTTTATATAATCCTCTTAGACATATAGGAGAGCATGGAGAACATAGGCATGTTTAAAACTGAATTATCTTTGAGAGGTGCTGGTCCTTATCACACTGAGAATGCAGGCAGGGGAACCATTCTAATTGGAACGGGGATGTGTTAGAAGTTGACACCTGATTCTGGCCTTTTCTGCGGAGGAAGCTGCTTTGGCTGGGGGTTGGCAAAAGCAATCTGAACAGTTCCTTCAGTAGTCCCTTAAGTGTCTCTCTGCCTGCTCTCCCCAGCCCAGATCTTGGAGGCGAAACCCGAGATCAAAGGTTAGAACTTAAAAATTAAAAGGGTTTAATTTTTTTTTCTAAGAGATGTTTCTTGCTGTTTGCAAGGAGGATGGAATCTGAATTCAGTGGTATTCTTCTTTTAACGCAAGCTGATTAAACTGTCATGAATCTGGTTGAGAGCTGTAGACTGTGGGAGATGCATATTATCTTAGGAAGACTACTAGGTTTGGGGGCCAGAATACTTGGGTGCAAATCCTTGCTTGGCCATTTCTTAGCATTCTGACCCTGGACAAGTTTCCTGGCTTCTCTGAGTCTCAGCCTCAGAAAAGAAGAATGGGTTTAATACTACTTACTTGACTGCATTGTTAGTAGGATTAAAGCAAACAAGAAAATACAAACCATAGAGAACTCTATAAATGTATGATATTAACATTACGTGCACATTCTGAAATAGTATGAGTCAGTCTTATGTTTTTCAATAACTAGCATATTAAAATATGGAAATATGTCATAGGAAAATAGCATATGTGCTATATTCTCATGTAACATATCGCCGTATATTATACAATATGTACAATATGTAATTCATTGAGAATTGAGAAGGTTGGCTCTGTGTGGGCAAAGGATTTTCTTCTAAGATGAAGAGTTTTTTGAAAACTAAAGCCTAATATTATGTATTTATAAAGAATCCAAATGATGAAAATTGCAGCAGAAAGGTTTGAGATTTGATATTAGCAAGAACTTCCTGATCTTCCAAATATTTGGGAAAAGTTTTCTAGGGAGGATGTTGTCTCTCTTTCCTTGAGGGATTTATCTTAGAAACTGTCCTTCCCCGGGGGTAAGGGTGAACCTGACTTCTGTGATCTAGACAGAGCAACAGGATGTAAATTTTCATCTGGAGTGAAAGGTTAAGTCAGAGAGTTGAGATTTTTCTAAAAGGAAAGATTAGAGCAACATGAAGAATTGAAATAATTTTCTACTTAATTGGATTTATCCAAGTGTGGTAGTTTGGGCCAAAATATTCACTTTGGAAACCTTATCAAACACTGATCAAGCTGAATTTGTATCTGAATGATTTTTCTGTGGTGGTCGGGAGTTAGAGAAGGTTTAAAGAGGGCTATTTCACTGTTGACTCTCCCCATGGAGGAGGAAGCAGTTTGTTAGACGTTCTTCAGGGGCTAAATATCTGCCTTACCACTGAGCATGGAGAAAGGGATGGGAGGAGGAGGGGGCAGGAGGGCAGAGCTGGGCTGGAGAGGTCAGTGGAGGGTTTGGGCCACACCAGCCACAGTAGGTGGAGGGGATGATATGGGCCCTAGAGGCTACCTTCTGCAAGCTGAGGACATGTATTTGACCAGTGCACATTTCAGGAAGATGTACAGTGCGGCCATCGAGTGCTTGTCAGAGACAAGTGGAAAAGTGGGTAGGGAATTTAACAGGGCTGTTTAGGGAGACTCAGAATTTGTACCCTATGCTCTGATGCCCCAGCAACCAAATAAAACCTCACTAAAGGGGACTTTTAAAGTCTAGTACACCATGTCAAAGAAGAAATTTGGTGGTTCTTTTTGTATAAAATGTCCTCCTCTTTTTCAAACAACAGTAAACATAACCAAATGTTGGGGAAGGTGGCAGAGGACAAAGCAAGAGGAAAACTTGGCTAGGACACTTCTTAATACTCATATTTTTTGAATACCTGGCACTTGGCACACAGCACTGCACCCAATT